AGCAAGATGAAATGTTTTAATGCATCACATTGTTTACTTTTTTAACGTTATTTGACATGCACACTCAATCCGGGTCCTGTACTGCATGCCAGTGCCATCCAGTGGACTATGGAAAAATGCAGCATGTTTGCAGGTGTTCATCGCGCCTGCAATGTTGGTGTAAATGGGGCACATTTAAACTCTTTTTTTGTGCCCTATCGGTGACTGGCAGCAATCAGAGAAACGCCATTCAAAGTTAATGGTGTGATTGAGCCCTTAGCACATTGCCCCCCATGCTAAAACTCAGAGTTCTAGCACGCAGGCTAGTGTGAATGAGCTCTGAAACATCTCTGACAACACACAAATTATATGGGATGAAATTTGCTATTACGTTTTAGTGCTATTAATGCACAACACAGAGTGCATCGTATTCCCACTGTTCCATGTGCATATGTGAGGTGTGAATGGGCCCATAAGCGTATATTATATTCAAGATTATGTGCAGTGATCTGCAGTACATAATGTACAGCGTGCAGTAGTCCACAGCATGTGATGTACAGAGTCCAGTGCTCTGGAAAATGTATTGTGCACCATGGTGTACAGCTGTCTGCAGCATGTTCCAAAGCATCCAAGCAGCCACACAACGATGGGGTGCAGCACAGCCCCCTCCACCCACTCTAGAGTGGGCATCATTCTTGGAGCGCAATAAAGTTGTTCTTACGCTTTGACCTCATTGGTGAGCGGTTTGGAGCAAGGACGCTCTCCTTTAGCAGGCACCTGACATTGCTCTGTGCTCAAGAACGGAACTTTTTATGGCAATATGACCTGGCTTCTGGGCTCACAGAGTTGCACTGCAAATTTCAGGATGCCATTTTACTTTTTCTGCTGCGTGTAGCTTTAACTACTCGATGACCGGGGTGTTAAACCCTCTTCCTGGCCAGGCCATTTTTCAGTATGCGGTGCTGCAGTACTTTGACTGACCTTTTATTCAGTCATGCGATGCTGTACCAAAATTAATTTTATATATTTTTTGGGACACATAGAGCTTTCTTTTGGTGGTATTTAATCACCACTGGGGTTTTTAAAAAATGTTTTACTATATAAATAAAAAAAGTACAGAAAATTTTGAAAAAACCCCCCCCCTTTCCTTATGTTATGTTATAAAACATTTATTCTTAGCCAATTTTTGGTAAAATATAAGACTGGGTCACGTTGGGTAAATAGACGCCAAACATGTCAAGCCTTAAAATTGTGTGTGACTGCAAAATTCCCAAAAAAGACTCAAAATTGGCCATAGGCGATGCTGTAAAAGCTTTTACTGCTCATCGTTTTAGTGTTAATGGTAATTGATGATCCTAGAATTATTGCTCATACTCCGGCACTTGCATTGACATGTGTGGTGTAATCAACGTTTTCGAACAAGATTGCTCATACTCCGACACTTGCATTGACATGTGTGGTGTAATCAACGTTTTCGAACAAGATAGCTTTTTGTTTGAAGTCTCCCTAAGCCTCACCATGGAAAGGGCCCATTGGGCTGGAAGCCACGGCAACACACATGGTGCAAACATAAGGTACAGATTTGCCTCTTTCTTCATGTCTCCCGCAGGCATGACTTCAGGCTGTAGAACAATGATTTTATATAACAAATAGGGATGCGCTGATACCATTTTTTTCGTGACCGAGTACCAATACTTTTTCTCAAGTACTTGCAGATACTGATAGTTTTTTTTTTTTGTGTGTCATGTAACAGTTTTTCTAAAACAATACAGACTAATAATCTTAGGACAGAGGTGGAGTGCAAAAGCCTGGTCCCAGCTGCAACCCTGTTAATTCAGCCACTGACTGCAAGCTGTAGAGAGACTACACATCTCAGCAGTACATAATACAGCAAATGTAGTCTTGCACCAGCTGTAGAGTACTACAAATCCCAGCAATACATTATACAGCAATGCAGCATACCATCAGCTATATATGACTACAAATCCCAGCAATGCAGTATGTAGCAATGCAGAATAGTATATGAATTTGTTACATACTCTGTGCTGCCGCTCTGCTCCAGGGTGCGGGCTTGATGTCTTGGGCGGAGGGTCTCCGCAGGGGCAGATGTGGAGGGTCTCAGCAGGGGCTTCCATTTTAAAATGTAAAGCTATCCAGCCAGGGGTCTCTGTTCTAGCAATGACCCTGAGCGCCTCTCCCTAGGACAATCCTCACAGCTCCCCCAGCGCTGCACGCTGTAGTTCTCGCAGCAGTCGGCTCTCTGGTGACCGTAGGTGTCGCAGTCCCCCTAATGCAGCATCCGGGATGCCCACATATTGCACAAATACAGAGACCTGCAGGAACTGGTAAAGCCCACACCGAGCAGAGGATCAGTCAAAGCCCGGAACTTCAGAGCTGCATCCCGGGACATCCAAAGTCAGGATCCAGGAAAGAAATCCGCTGTGCCGTTCACAGGAAGGCTGCCGAGGTCCCCAGCAAGCGTGGGACCTCATGCAGCCGAATCTCTTTCAAAATGTAAAGCTCCGGTATGGGGGCATTTTCAGTATTGGCACTGGGATCGGTATTGGTGCATCCCTAATAATAACTGGGAATCTGGGCAATATATCTGATTGTGATTTACAGTTTGGTTGTTTTTTGTCTTTTTTTGTTTTTGTTTTGTTTTGCAAAATTCAATTTTCTCTTCCGTTCATTGAAGGACACAGGGAACAGATCGTAGATCATGTACCGTAGGTGGCGATATTACCCTACGGTACATGATCTACGATCTGTTCCGTGTCCTTCAATGAAGGGAGAGAAAAGGATTTTACGGTGAGTACAAAAATCCTATTGTTTGAAACATCTAATTTTTTTTGTCTTTTTTACTTTAGTTCAAATAGTTTTTCAGTTTGAAGTACCTCTTACCAAAGCAAAGTTTCTCAGGTCTGTCCTACCAAGCTCAGCATATGCAGATACCTATTGACAATACTTCAAAAGCTACTTCACATTAGCTAGGCACACGTCTCTGCAAAACCTTGCTGCAATCTCCCACAAAACTTGCAGCAGGTACATCATAGCAGGAAAGCATGAAAACATCAACACTATCTCACATGTTTACCTTTCCTGTCTTTCTGGGAGGAACAGTAGTTTTCCCATTCAGGCCACAACTTCTTCCCAGGCTTTATTCCTTCTTATCCTGCTCTTATATTGAGGGCCATTTAGGTCATATAGTTTGGGGTAGGCACGGACTACCTCAATATCAAAGAATGCTGTCCTCCATTTTGTTCTTAAGTGTTTTTTCGAAAGAGGAGGAGGGCTGGTTCTTGCACAACAAACATGGACTTGGGTTACGCATTTACAAACAATAACATTGAAGTCTAGGGCGCCAAAAATGCAGACATTTGCAGAAAAGTCGCTTTTTTTTCTTCCAGTGACATGTATTTTGGTACAGAAGACAGGATGCACAGATGTGAGCAGGGCCATTGAAAACAATGGAATTCCTCTGTCTGAGTGTTGTAATGCTTAGCCATTTCAGCTACAAAACGCTGAGGTGTGAACAGGGACTAAAGCTGGACATACACTGTGTGAATTCGCACAGTGCGTTCCACTGTCGGCACACTTTCGGCTGGCATCCATTGATCAGCTGATCGAAGGAGTCGGGTATTCTGATAGTGGCCGCAGTCAAAATACAATGCAGACATCCTGCAGAGACTCCGCAATGCAGAGATTCCTCGATCAATGCTCCAAAATTGTTGATGGAGGAATTTGTGATATTTTCTCTGTTCAGCCCACAGGTTGAAGGAAGAAAATATTACAATGTATGGCCAGCTTATTTTTTTTTTTAATCACATGCTTAGTTAGAGCTTTCCAGCTTTTGAAATATTTACTTTGCACTATGGTTATACTTGTAGAGGAAAAAACAAATCTTCTTTCCCCAGCAAAGGTTTCCTCTTCTGCAAGAGTCCTTATTATATAGGTTATGGGGCACTGATGTCTTTACAATGATGCGGAGCACTTTAAAAGGAACCTGTTAGGAAGGTAATATGGGAGCTTGCCATTGCTGACTTGTCTGTGAAGGTACAAGTTCCAGGGTTGTCATGCTTTCTCCTTCCTTCATGATTTCATGTGTCACTTACCTAGAACAAATATGTTTGTGTCTGGGGCCGACCCCTCACCTGCTTAATGTTTGTTGCAGGTGACTTGCTCTGTAGCAAAGCTAGGATTAGTATGACATGCTTCTATCCTGAGAGTTTCCTTTGTTCAAGGAGAATTATGAGGCAAGTGATTTTCACTCAGCCTCATAATCTGAGCCGACCTGTGACAATGAAACTGTCACAGGTCGGCTCAGTAGATAGGGAAGTGATCGAACACATACCGTTGCTCGCTCACTTCTCGCTCTATCCCTGCAGAGAGCCGTGACTGTCACTCACGGCTCCCTACAGGGATTCCCCCCCTCCCCTGTCAGATCCTTCAGCGCTGACTGGCGGGCACAGCTGGCTCTGCCTCTAAATAGGCAGAGCCAGCTGTCAATCCCGCAGCTGGGTGGATCCAGACAGTAATGTCGGGATCCATCCTGGCTGCGGCGTCTCAGTATAACGAGAGCTGTAGCTCGTGGTATACTGAGCTTTGGGTCACGGGAGAACGCTAGTTTGTGTCCTCCCGTTAACCTAAGGAGAACTATGGGGAAAAGCCCTGACTCCATAGTTCTCCTTTTAAGCTTTACTGCTCTGTAAAAGCATGACATCTTAGTAAAATAAGTGGCACCTTAACACTGAAGATGAATTGATTACATTTCCTTTCCAGGCAATTGCCAGAGTACCTTTTGTCTTCTCTAGTTTTTTTAACATTGTGTTTACTCAGCTGATAATTATTTTTTCTTTTCTAGGTTGACGTTTATTTGCAGTTAATAGCCCAAAATTCTCAATATGGACCCGGCTCCAAGTATATTGAGCTGTATTATTGGAAAGACTATGAAAATTACAACCACCAATGGGTGCTTTCAAGGGGTTTTATTCAGTGTTCATGCAGATCGTGCGTTCACTCTGATCAAAGGTAAGCAATATTTATTTCATACTTGTTACCTTCTAATTTACAGGCCATTGGAGTATCCATTATATATACTTAACATTTGTATGGTTATAATGGGAAACTTTAATGGCTTAATACTGACAATTAATGGTTTTATAACCAAAATCTAGGGATGCACCGAAATAAAATTTTTAGCCCAAAATAAAATTTGTCAAGCCGAAAACTGAAAATTACTTTTTTTTTTTTACAACGTTTTAAAAAATGTTTACATTAGGGATGCACCGACACTTTTCGAGTACCAATGCCGATACTTGGCATTTTCATGAGAACTACCTGGGTTGCAGCTGGGACCTGGCTCTGGCACTCCACCACTGTCGTGAAATCATTATTCTGTATTTTTTTAGAAAAACTGTCACATGACAATAAACAGAAATGTATCGGTACTTGTAAGTACTTGGGCAAGTATCAGTACTTGTACTCACAAAACTAGTATCGGTGCATCCCTTTATTTATATTTATAAAAACAAAATCGTACATTAAAACAGAAATGTACAAATCCCAGGAGCTCTGTGTGCTGCTTACAAATGACAGCTGCCTCCTAACTTTGGAATTTTTCTCTAGTCTAGTCTTGGAGCTGGAAAAGTATCTGTACTTGTACTTGTACCGAGTACTGTACTTGGTATCGGTGCATCCCTAGTTTAAATTATTTGTTTAATTAATTTTTTTATTTACTGTTAGGGACTTCAAATAGGCCCCTGATATTTCCCTTTTTAAAACAGAAAAAGAGATTTAGGACACTGAGTCCTAAATCTTTTTCTGCAGCCCCTGTTATGAATGAACAGGAAGCCTCTACACTGAGTGTTACTGTCCAGTCGTAAACTGTGGAGATAGTATCAGTTACTATGTCCACAATCATGAGTGAACAGGAAGTGATGTCGAGCACTTCCTGTTCATTCATAACTAGGGACACAGTAAGCTTAGTTATTTACAAATATTCAGCGATCAGCTCTAATCGCGGAGTGTTGATTTTCCGCTCTCAATCCTGACTTGCCTGTCACAGGAGGCCGAGCGGGGCAGTGTGGGAAAAGATCTCGGCCTACTTTGACAGATGAAAGCTGTCTCCTCCCCGCTCCACACTGCCTGGCCTCCTGACAGTTTTCTCTCCTTCCTGCTTGGCGCCGTTCCGTGTTCCCTCCAATCCCCGCTATCTTTCCCAACACAAGTGGGGGAGAGCAGCGGGAATCGAAAGAGACACAGACCAGCGCCCAGTGAGGTGGAGAGAAGCTAGGGATGCACTGAATTTTGGGTCGCATTTTCCGACTTTTATGGTACCATCGGCGTTTTGCCCATAGTACAGTTTTTGGCTGAAATTTCGGTGCCTCCCTACCAAAATCTGTTTTGATCACAGCTTTCAAAAAATACCAAACTACAAGCTTTGTAGTTCTGCAGTTTACTAACAAACAAAACATTTTGATCAAGACATCCTATAATCCATAATCCCATACATATGCTACTTTATGCAAAACCAGGATTGCAAAATATTTCTTCCTGATGAGCAGTTAATAAACTCCCACACTAGTGAAGGAGACCTTATATTCTGAAGAGCCCCAAAAGTCAGATTATATGGAAAGTTCTTAGTCTTCTAGATGCCTAATTTCTGCATTGCTTGGGAGAATATAGGGGGGGCATACACAGAGCACAAGTCAAGCATTTTGGGAAGTGTGTTGGCACTCTCAGGTGCATAAGAAGCTTTATTACAGTAAAAGTTATGAACAGGCATTGTGTAGTGCTTTGCTGGACTACTGTAGTTTACTATATTTGTGGAAACAGAGGATCAAATGACAACACAGTGCACATGCATTATGTCCAAATCCGGTTAACGTTCAGTAAAATTATGTTGGTAACGGACTGTTGAACACTGAAAACAGCACAGACTTTATCCTGTATTTGAATTAATGTTCAGCAAATTGTCATTGTTGTGCCATTTTTTTTTTATTCGGTTTAATAAAAGTGTTTATATTCCAGTTAAGGATTTGAAGACTGGCGAAGCAGTGCAAGGAGCAAAGCTCTTTTTTGGGCAACATGTCCTAAATGGTTTGTATGCATTTGTTGTTGTACATATTAATTGTTTGTATTATTGACCCTATGGAGATGAGATGAAGACCTGATGGTCATTATTTAATTTTTTTGGGGTATATGTAAAAAAGCTAAAAAGGCGTATTTTTTCTGGTACCTTTTTATTCTTACCTGAAACAGCTTCAAAAAGAGCTTAGCTCTGCAGCCTGCATGGCACTGCACGGCATCTCGCTAAAATTATTATAAAATGATCACTGTATAGTTTAACTACTTATATGAATTTCTCTCAATTGGTTAATAACTTGAAAGCATATACAAATAATGACCATCTTTTCAAGAAAGAAGGTGGTGAAAGAAGTTCTATAAATAGACCAATTGTATTTCATTCAAGCTCAATGGCTTACTTTATTAGTATCAAACATTTATATCAAAAAGTGAGCACGACACCAAAAACTGAATCCCACCTTATATATAAAAATTGACAACGTTTTCAATCACCACACACATTAAAACCTTTGAACAGTCCTCATCCCCTTCACTCATTACACTAATTCACTCTTACATGACACGACATTGCTCAGAACACCTGTGTGTTATAGAATTGAATCATTCAATCGTTCTTCACAATATTGTATGAACCTGGTTCAAAAAAACAACAAAAGAAAAAAACGGAGCATGAAAAATAAACTTTTCCTTTTCTTTCATCAATCAATTAACGCTTTTTTTTTTCTTCTTGTATAACAAGTATTTCAAAAGTAAAACCGAATTTGATTGATCCTTTCCGTTTTATTTTTCAAATACTTGTTATATTGATTCAGTTGACTGATGAAAGATATTTCGCTTTTCTAGCGGCGGCTAGATATGTTCATTGACATGGACATAAATAAAGAAGTTTAAAAATGGTCTTATGCAAGACAAGAGAAAGATGTTAATTGATTGATTTACAAAGGTTTTAATTTGTGTGGTGAATAATATATAAGGAGGGATTTTGTTTTTGATGTCATGCTCACTTTTTGATACTGTCTTTAATAAAGTAAGCCATTGAGCTTGAATGAAATATGATTAGTTGATTTATATAACTTCTGTCACCACCTTCTTTCTTGAAAAGGTGGTCATTTTTTGTATAGCATCTCATACATTTTTCCTAGTCCATCACCTAATTTTCCATGCATGCCTGCCCCAAACTCCTTTTGACTTCAGTAGAAGGCACCTCTGCATCCCACCAACTGTTAGAAAACTGTGCAATGAATACCTGTCTGGAGCTGTGTTTCATGTAAATAGATTACAATACATAATTGTTCAGAGGGAAAGTGGGCCCATAATGGTTAAAGGCGTTCTAAAGTCACAGCATATACTTTTCTGTTTTAACACCAGCATTGCAATAGGAATACATACTATAGTTATTTATGATAATGCAACCAAAGCTTACTTATAATAATCCCTTTTCTGTGGTGAGTACTGCCTTCTGTCTGCCCCTCACTATCAACAACCTCTTGGCTGCCTAGTGTGCTTTGTGTCTTTCCCTGCTGCCTGATGTAATGCAATCCTGATGTTTCAAGTCTGCATATCCTATAGTGCATTGCTTCCAGCAAGCAATGATGATGTTACATTGTGGTCATTTCCTGAGGACTGTAAGAGAGGGGGAATTAGTTGAAATGTAGTCTGGGCCTCAGGCTTTGTGACACAAGGAAGTCCATATTCATAGGACTAACTACAAATTGTTTCGCTGCGTTGAGGAAGTACAACCAGCTGTGTATTTTGGTTTTGTGCTGCCCTAGGCTAGACTAAACTCGAAACCCCCACCATATAAATTTGCCCCACCCCTTCCTGTTTAAGACATTTTGCGTAACCTGCCAAGTTGCGCTATTAGCGTAGTGGGGAAGTCCGCTGCACATTTTGCTTATGTCAGAAGCTGTTTCAGTAGTAACAGGCGCATGCTGTATCATTTCTGCCAGCATTGGAGAGAGGAGGCTGAGCTCGTCGGTGGATTTGGGTAAGGATAATTTATATATTTTTTTCCCCCTCTCTCTGAATGGCAGGTGAGGCTCTGCCTCACTGGTTTGTAGGGATGTACTAATACAAATTTTTCCTGACCAAGTACGAGTACCGATACTTTTCCTCAAGTACTCACCGATACCAATTACCAATGCTTTTTTTTTTTTTATAGTGTCATGTCACAGTTTTTCTAAAACAATACAGACATTGATTTTAGGAATGTGGTGAAGCTCCAGGGCCCGGTTCTAGCTACATACGCTGTGCCCGCTTGTAGTTCTGCCACTGACTCCAAGCTGTAGGGGGACTACAAATCTCAGCAATACATTTTACAGCAATGCAGAATACCATCAGCTATAGAGGACTACAATTCCTAGTGATACATTATACAGCAATGCAGAATAATATCATCAGCTAGAGGGGACCACAAATCCCAGTGGTACATTATACAACAATGCCAAATGGCAACCGGCTATAGAGGACTACAAATCTCAGCAATGCATTATACATCAACGCAGAATAATATACAGCTACATACAGTACTCCAGGTTGCCTGTATGATGTCTCCAGCAGAGGATCTCAGGAGGGCTGTGCGGTGTCTTTATTATCTTGATGATGATATTTTATAGAAACACCCATCAAGTATTTCGGTCCATATAGGCCCTACATAAAATATACATAGGAGTTCCAGATATCTTTTTAATACTATAGTTCTGTATATTTCCTTCATCAACTGGACATGTTTGCGTGTCTGCTAAAGCGTCCTTACATTCCCCTTTGCCAAACTTTTTCTAGAAATGTATCATCTGGTTGACTGCTCATTTTGGAGTTTTCAAGGTCACCCCCATCATTGGACACCTTTTACTGGCTTGTTTCAGCCCACTAATTGAAGATTGCTTTTTGCTCTTTCTATGGCATGTCGTCGTGTAATGCGTTTGAATTGTCAGCCACATACTCAGCCTTCATCTTTCTTCTACAATTGTCACAGATATCCCTGTGTTTGAGTTAACAAGTTCACAGTTGTTTTACATGGCTTTAGGTGTAAAGTCCACCAGAAATGACTTGGTTTGGGTAGAGCCGAAAAGGGTCAGGACCTTTGCTGTTGTGTGCTGCTGTGTAATAATCAAAACAGTTAATAAATATGTTTGCTGACACATGAATAACATTAAATATGTGCCAATTGGTAGAGATGAAACCGTAGTAATATTTTTCACACTTTTTCAGTATATTATTGTAATTGTTGTCTGTAAAGAATGTGTTGCCTCAAATGTTGTGTTATGGAAATGCTGTAATGAACCCAGGCAGATAGCTGTGATTATAATAGCTCGGATATAAACGTCTCTAAAAGATTAATGTTTCCTTTAGCAACCAGTCAAGGTCTTCATATTTTTAATTGGGACTTGTAAAATAAAATAGATCATTTTCACAAAACAAGATTTCTTTTCTTTCTTTCTTGTCACAGACATATGTATCTTGTTTGCAGATTTGCTGTAACAGCAATATTTTGAATCTGTCTCAATACCATTGTCATTGAACTAGTAACCCCCTTTTTTTTTTTTACATTAATCTTATATAAGTTTTTATCTACAATTGTTTTCCCCCCCTCAGTGGAACAAGTAGAAGAATCTAAAAGTGTTGGTCAAGAGGTTGAAGGAGAGACATTAGAAGAAAGGTATTTCTACATGTAAACCAATACTTTATGACTATGTTACAAAAAATTGGGACTTTTGCTGGGTTGTTTCATGTTTACAGGCAGCTGGCTGCAACTCTCTCCGCTCAGCTTCCCTGAACTTCATTTCCAGTACGGCACAGTCTCCAGCAGTTTTCCATCTAGTATCTTGGAGAAGGTAGCAAGGGGAAGGGTAGGGGAATGGCTTACTTTGCTGTGTTTGTGGAAACACACACAGCTTACTAGCACACACCAGGGTTGCTCCATAGAGAGATCAACCCTACAAGAGAAAGCAGCCACCCTAAAACAGGTTATCGGGGCCAGTGCTTAGGGGACGAGAGGATTCTGCAGGAAACTAAAACTTTTAAACATCAAGAAGCAGCATCCTTTCTAAGTGATTTTTCAATAGCTTGAAACCTTGTAACCTTACATTGTATATCACTTAAATTAACTCTACTGTGTGGGCAGATCTCATGATCAATTGTAAACTAGATTTGAACACTTAGCAACTATATAAGTAAGATACAAAATAGAATAAATAGCATAAATATCAAAAATACCTTTTAAATAAATTACATATCCCAAAAGCAGAAACCCACACAAAAAGACAACAAAAAAGAAAAAGGACCAACAATAACTAAATACCATACTATATAATAAAATATAAACAATCAAATGGGTCTCGTGTATGTAACATGAAGAAATCGCATGAGTTCATATAAAGCTGTAAACGTCCCCAAACTTATTGTGGCTGTAACCCCTAAGGTGTAAAAAGTCCTGGAACTAATCAAACGATTTTTTTACTTGTTTTCTCTTTAAAAAAAAAAATACTCCCAGTGAAAGAGTGGACTTGATCCATTTACTGAGGTCAGAGAAGCATAAATACAGTTCAAACTCTCCTTATAATGCATCTCAGGCGACTAAGGTATATTGTTATACCCTCACAAGTCCTATTATGCATTTGCCTCTGCAGTCTTGCAATTCCTAATAAGATTTGTAGTTGCAGCAGAGCTGGAGGGCCGTCATTTGTTGCTCCTTGCAGAGTATACAGCAGGGGTAACCATATTTTTAGATTCTGTGCATTATTAATGGCCTAATCAATAATAAATGAGACATTAAAGTGATATTAAAGGAGAACTATGACATGAGTGATTTCCACTCACCTCATAGTTCTAAGCCGACCTGTGACAATGAGACTGTCACAGGTCGGCTCAGTAGATCGGGAGTTGAGGGAACACATACCGGGTTCCCTCACCTGTCGATCCTGTCACGGCTCTCTGCCGTGACAGGGGGAGGGGCTGGATTCCCCTCTCCCCGCTCCGATCTGCCAGCGCTGACTGGCGGAACGGACGGGGGAGGGGGCGGGTACAGCTGCCTCTGCCTCTAGGTAGGCAGAGCCAGCTGTCACTCACGCAGCTGGGCGGATCCCGTCATCTACGTCGGGATCCGCTCCAGGTGCGGCGTCTCAGTATACCGCGAGCTGTAGCTCGCGGTATACTGAGCTTAGGGTAACGGGAGGACGCTAGTTTGTGTCCTCCCGTTAACCTAAGGAGAACTATAGGGGAAAACACTGACCCCATAGTTCTCCTTTAAACATTTTGTTTTTTGGCATTTTATAATGAGGAGTCTTCAGCCACATGACTGCTGAGGAGAGACTTGTGCGTGCCCGCCCCCAGCTGTGCCCGCAGCTAGCCATGTGTGTCCATACACACACACACACACACACGGCGTGCGGCAAGCCACTCTCTTCTTCTCCTCCCAACAGATTGGCTAACGGCAGAAGGAGCCAATCACTTTTCTGCCCTCAGTAACCTCCCCCTGCAACCAGGAAGTTCAGGGACCAATAAAGACTTCACAGACCTGGCGGAGGTGACAGAGAATGGAGGTAAGTGTGGGGGGACAGGACAACTTGGAAAGGTTTTGGGCAATTCTTACCTTAATGCAGAAAAGCATTAAAGTGACCCTAAACTCTTGTTCTGTCTGTGTCTATCTTAGGTGTGTACAGTGCAGTGAATATTTATTTTAGTTCATTCTTGATAATGCAATCCGTTACTTCTTGTAGAAGTCATATACTGTCCCTGACGACTGCCCAGAGTAATCAAGAGGAGCCTTTCAATGCTTTACAGGAAATTCAACATGCAGGTTTGTTATAGTGTTAGTGCAATATTGCTCTGTCCAGTCATCTGCACTTGGAAAGATCTGTGAAGAAAATGGTCTTAATAAAAAAAGAACGTTATGGATGTTGACCTGCAACTGATCAGATTATTTTTTTCATTATATTCTTGTAACAGCATTGTAGGAAACCACTAAAAGCAATAAGAGCCAGTTTAATGGGCATTTGTTCAGTTCAAAACTGCTTTTCTTCCCATATAAGTCTACCAAAGCAGCTGCAGCAGGTCAGATGCACCTACAATTATTTCTGAATGACCTCAGAAGCATCTCAAACCGATGTCAAAAGCACACCGCATTTGGCCATCAAAGCCTGACAACACTGGCCCTGAAACAGCACTCAAGAGCCTGTTGAAAGCTTACCTTAAATTTCTGTCTTTTGTGAATCTTAGGTCTTTAACCCCTTCATGACTGAGCTAGTTTTCAGTTTCTGTTCATAAATGACTGACACACTTTTTACATTTTTTGCTGTGTGATTCTTCCACAGCAGTAATATACTTTCTTACTAAATGTACCCACACATATTTTATTATTGTTTTTTTAGAGGACAGATGGGCTATATAATTATATCAAACATGTGTACCTAACGCCTCACTTAGTTTGAATAAAATAACAAAAAGACTTTTATTTTCCTAATTTTGTTTTACACTTTATTTAATTTTTTTTACACTTTGTAAAAAAAATTTTTTTTTTTTTTGGTCAGTTTATATCAAGCAGTCACTATGACTGCTTGATAAACTAACTTTTTTTTACATTTTTTGGCTATTATTAGGCTGCTCCAAACTTAGGAACAGCTAATAATAACCTTAGAGACTGATCCTGACTTTAGTCAGATTCAGATCTCACTAAAAGCTATTTGATCGTGCCTAGACGTTCAGAACTGATACATTTCATTCAAAAGAGATACATTGTATCTCTTGTATTTCTTTAGTGAAATGTATCTAAACATCTGGCTATGGAGCTGTCAAAACAAATAGCAGAGAGGCGAGTCACTGCTACCTCTCTGCTATTTTCAGCTGTCAAACGGCTTAATTCTTTCATTACTGAAAGGAAGAAGCTTTTACAAAAAGCCTAATTATTTCATTAATGAATGCCTCAATACTGAGGCATTCATTAATGACTGGTAACCGCTGAGAATCAGCTGTTACCAGCATTACAAAGCCTGATCTAACTCGTCACGTACAGTGTACGTGGCCAGTCATATAGGCAGTTCGTGACGTACAGTGTACGTCTCCCATCACGAAGGGGTTAATAAACAACCCATCCAATCTTATGTATGAGCTTTGCACTGTTTTTCCTAAGAAGGGTAGATAGATCTAAAATACTACTGTTCAGCCCAGTTATATTTTTTTGAAAAATCATCACAAGCATTTTAAATGGTACTGACAGGATATAAGCGACATAGACTTTACTATAGTGCCCCGAGAGCTTACTGATGGGAGGAGTACACAGGGGTGATTTCATCAGTATGTAGTTGTGCCTTCAGTATCCAGTCACAGGCTGGATAGTGACCAAGTTTTATTGCTGTAAATGCAGAATGATGAGGTCCTGACTATGCTTTCTAACAGATGTCTGGATTACAAAATTGGCTGCACAAAATAAAAATAAAAAATTGTCAAGATGATCCGTAGTTCCAAAGGTTTAGGCAGTTGGATTTCTATGAAAATCTTGAATTCTACTATAAACGATTGTATTTTCTTTAAAAATAATGCCTGCTCGTGTATTTGTGTGTCATGTTCTGTTTCAGTTGCCTAGGTTTATGACAGGTTTTCTTCAGTATAAAAAATAAATAAATCCCAGTTATGTAGTTTGAATGGGTTTAGTTTGTTTTGTACCTTAGGAACACTTAACAAACATATAGTGGGATTTTCTCAAATGTGACTGCAAAAGTGGAAATACACTTTAAAACATGAACTGTCTTTTATTGCTGCAAATGTGTACGCACAGCATTATATCTTTTTCAGTCTATAACATGTTAATCTGGTTTAGCTCCAAATGAATTGAGGTATTTAGACAAGGAATTTGAAGTTTACTAAAGGAAAATTACTGACTACTTTCCCTTTTATTATTGGAGTACGTTTCCTTTGAGCTCCACTTCTTAGGCTAATCACATTGGTTTTACTGGCCTCAGTGCCTTTTGGGAATGTTTGGCATAAAACATATTAAAACAAACTGCTGCTGCCTAGGGAACACCGACACACCACTTCTGCTCTAGGCTGCAAACCTCGCTGAGGTGAAGTGACGATTATCTTTGTTTGATGGACCGTCATTCATATCACAGTGTATGGCATAGCTTGCTTTTTTTTTCTCCATGATTTCTAGGTTCCAAAGGTTTACTATTTGAGGCAAAATTATTCTGACTACTAATAAACTATCCCATCATCAAATTGCAGTTAAACTTGAAGTGTGTGTATATATAGTCAGCCCTCTTTAAGGCCCTATTCGCCCTTCCAAGCCTTGCTATGCAACCTGCTGTGGCCACCATGGAAGTGTGTCAGACCTTATCTGTGTATTCGTCACTACTTAGTGACCTGGTGGATACCCTTAGACAAATCTCTATGATCGGTCTCCCTTCTGTCTTGATGTGACCAATTCAATGGCTTAAGATGCTGGTTTGCCAAGCTTACTTGCAAGAAGAGCTTTGAACGCATGCCCTTTACTGGGGAATGCCTGTTCATTGAGTCCTTGGATACATATATTAAGGAAGTGATAGGGGCAAGTACACCATCTTACCTTCTCTGCTTCCTCTTCAAGAAGGGTTACTTTCATTCCTCACAAGCCTGAGAATGCAAATTTAAGCCAGACTCTCCTTTTCTGTTACAAATCCTGACCCTCCAAGCCTGCTAAATCCCGCTAACTGTATCACAGCCGAAAACAATTAGTAATGGTAGTGACGCTTTTCCCAGAACAAAATCTGCTTCATCAGACACCAAATACAGTAAAGTCTGATGAAGCAGATTTTATTCTGCAAAATGCGTCACTAACACTACCATGTGTTTTCGGCTGTGATACAGTACCATGTCTAGCTCTCATCTTGGACACCTATACTTATAGGGTTGGGCGGCGTGTAATATATACGTTGGACTTACTAAACTGCATAGATACAAGGATGATCTTATGAATTATACTTAGCTGGGTTACTTGTCTACATATTGATTTTATGACTGGCTTTTTAAATTGTTAATAAGAAAAATTTATTTAATAGATCATTGTATATGGTACTTGTTACACCTCAAAAATGCTGACATAAAGGCTTCTATCTAGTCAAACTGTATGTCTTCATATTTTTAGTCTGGACTTGTAAAATGAAATAGATCATCTTCATGACAACATGATTCTTTGTTTATACAGCTTAGGTCTGTCACAGCCATATGTATATTTCTTGTTTGCACATTTGGTGTAACAGCAATATGTTTTTTGTCTTTATGGCATTGTCATTGAACTAGTAACCCTTTTTTTCACCATAATCTTATACAAATTTATCTACAATTTTTTTTTTTCCTTTTTCAGTGGAACCAGTAGAAGAATCTAAGTGTGTGGGTCAAGAAGTTGAAGGAAAGGCATTAAAAGAAAGGTACTTCTACATGTAAACCAATACTTTGACTATGTTGCTAAAAGTTGGTCTCCAACTCTCTCTGCTTGGCTTCCTTGGGTTCTATCATTTTATGAATAGTGTTCTGTCTATCTTAGGTGTGTACAGTGCCGTGAATATTTATTTTAGTTCATTCTTGATAATACAATCTGTTCTTTCTTGTAGAAGTCATATACTGTTGCTGAAGACTGCCCAGAGTAATCAAGATGAGCCTTTCAATGCTTTACAGGCAATTAAACATGCAGGTTTGTTATTGTATTGGTGTAATATTGCTCTCTCCAGTCATCTGCACTTGGAAAGATCTGTAAAGAAAATGGGCTTAATAAAAAAAAAAAAGAACTTTATGGATGTTGACCTGCAACTAATTAGATTATTTTTTTCCCAAGTGTCTTCCAAAGAAAGAAAAATAAGTAAATGATACCCTCAATATTCTATTAACAGCATTATAGCAAACAGCTGAAAGCAATAAGGGACAGTTTTGATGGGCTTTCGTTCAGTTCAAGACATCTTTACAGCAATCTGGGGTCCCTGCTGCTCCAATGCAGGGGCGTATTTACCGCGAGGCAAACTAGGCGTTTGCCTAGGGCGGCACCCTCTGTCGGGGCGGCTTTTCCGCTGGTGCCGCGGTACGCCTAGCGCCGCAGTTCAGAGATAATCAACTGGACACCGCCGCAAGCCGCCCTCCTCGGCCCCGCAAACCGCCGCCCGCGTCCCCGCAAGCCGACGTCCAGGTGTTAGTAGGGTGTTAGTAAGCCGCCGGCCGCGTCCCCGCAAGTCGCCGGCGACTTGCGAGCACCCGGACGGCGACTTGCGGGGACGCGGCCGGCGGCTTACTAACACCTGGACG